GAATACAGACCACTTCGAATTATTTTATTCGATTAAGCTAACGTGCCTATCACGTTGAGGTTGGCTACGCCAGGATTCGTTTTCAGCAAGTAGATATCCACACAAGTGGACCTTGTTGAAAAATACGTAATCCTAAAATGTAGCATTGTGCTACAGATGGCGTTCACTGTGCCGTTTGTAGTATTTTCTGAATAGATGTCTGTTTAAGGTATAACAATTTCATTATATACTACAATGTCTGAAAATTTATTTAGTAAAAATAATACTGAGATGGCGGCCTTGGCGGCGCTACCATTCTTGAAGGCATGATCGAAAATGTGGTACCACCCTACCCCATGTTCTTTTAAACATTGAGCGGATCATATTTGTATTACATTTTTTAAAACTACGTTTGTCTAAAGTTCCACCCCCTGTAATGTTGCAAGTAGTTCAAGTGACAATTTTTAAAGGACTGGACACGAATTTCGTCCCGTTATAGAAGTGATCAGAAATGAAGAACATCAACAAAAAGTTGCATAAAAGGAGTGCGTTGTTGACAAATGTATCTGCTCGTGGTACACCCGGAGGGTAGGATAGAAGGGCCTCTCTGGCCTTCATTTAGGTATCGTGGAAATGAAATTTTCTGCGTTCGCATTTGCCTAAGCGATTTAAGTTACCACAGAAAACCAGATCAGATTAGACCAGGCGGACCCGAAATAGATTCGATGTCCTCTAGAAACTTAAGATACGATCTAGACTAGACGACAGCAATAAATGCCCCACGGATCACCGACTAACCCATCTGATAGTCCGATTGAATTCCAAAAATTAATTACATATAATTAGCATACAGAAATATGAAAGGAATACTTTGAAGTAGCTCAACCGAAAACGGACCTCAAAATATATCGAAGAGGCCGACGCATTCTATCGCTTCTCGTTGCTTCGGGTTTTCTCAGATTTTGAATTGATGGCAAAGCAAAAGTAATAAACAAGTGTAATTCGGCAAAATTATCTCAACTAATCTTATCATAACTCACGTCTGTGAATTGTTCGTATTTCTATCTATTATCTATCTCATATTCTTTTTTTACCCACACTGCTTGATCACGTCGCGCTGATAGGTAACGTTTATCAGTAGTAAATCCACAGACGCAAGAAGAAATTAACGATCTTCTCTTTATCTGCGCTATGAAGACCTCTACGCGCTAAAATTTCAAGTTTCTAATAATAAAAACATCAGTTAGAGGGCCACTTTTTCATTGTGGGATCCGAAGGTATCAAAAAAGCATTACTTATTGTCCCTTTGTGTCAAAGTGTTTTCACTTTTTCGTTATTTACTTACTCATCAGTACAGTGACCTGCGGTGAGGACCCATTTTGGTGAAATAATGGTTGCTCCGCACCAGAATTCATGATTAACATATAACTGTGCATTATACGGAAGCTTTTCTATAGTAGTTGAATTTCCACCGACAATCCTCTCTTCATTTTTGGTGATATCAGCTTGTCTAGGGAAGGACGAGATTCCTATAATAATTGTATCGCTTAACTAATTTTAACTTTAAAACTTTTGATAATGCATACCCAGAAACACGGAAACTATTAATATTATGAACAAGAAGATCTTCATAATAAATTTTAAGTAAGTAACTACAATAATCAATGACACTGATCGCTATTTTCCTATTTATAGTATTTGTTCCCGTATCAATCGTTTTATCAAGTAATCGTTGAAACACGCGAGGCAGTGAAGATAATTTTTTATTTTATTTTTTTGTAGTTGTTTGACCTTTAATTTTATAAAGAAATGCACGAAATGAAAAATGAGTGGTTCAAAAGGTAATACATTTAAACTAAACGGAATCCGCCCAAACCAATTAATTTTTTTAATATTTTTGATGAATTTTTATTTCGGAATAGCCTAAAAAATATTACAAGTAGTTCTGATAAATTTAGGAAATATCGAACAGTCAAATGGTTTAAGCTAATTGAAAATTAGGAAATTTATTCCATTGATGGTGCCGATGTCGAGTTGAACGCTATCATCTCCGTTATACAACACTTAACCCAGATATAACTCAATTAAGTTTCGCTTCACAGCAACTACATTATTCAGTGCTCAAATTACCTGAATTTGCCATTCTCAACAATGAACCCACAAATTTTATGTCTATGTTTGACCACTTAATATTGGTGCCTTTTCCCACGAGTTCCCCGAAATTTATCACCATTGTATGGTGTAATAAATCATACTCAACAATTTCTATTTGAGAAACCTGGGGATATTCTTTGGTATTAAAAGCTTCAAATCTTCGTTTAAAATATTCCAATATCATCTTCAACATGATTAGGTCAATATATTAGTGAATTAATTATTGGATTTACCCACTACATATAACCTAAAATTAATACTTCTGCGGCTTTGATCTTCTCGTAACTCAATAGTAAAAGTAGAGTATTGGTGCGTAAAACCAGGGGCCCGGGTTCAATTCCTATTAATTTGGGGTTATCTGTAGTGGGTAAAATTAATTCACTAATGCATTGAATTTTACCCTACAAAAATTCAATGTGTCTCATTGATAAGGTCGTATTTACCATCTTGCATAACATACAAGTGAATCTTGACAAATGAAAACCCATCGTCTCATCGTGAGGTCATCACTGGTTGGACACGCACCTCCACTTGTTCCTACCCTGAGCTAATTTTCGCATTTCCCTAAAATTAGAACGTCCCACATCCATAACTGTTTGCGAACAGCAATCTAATATAGGTCTATCTTTACCCCTCCTAACTCCTGTTTCTGTCTCTAATATGTCTCTGACTAGACCTTCATGCCTGAGAAGGTGTCCTACCAACCTATCTTGCCTATTTTCTATTAACTTCGATAGTGTCTTCTGTTCTCCTATACACCATATTTCGAACACTTGTAACTTATAACTTGATGAAGATGAATTTTATGTCCTGTACTGTAATGTGCATCCAACCAGCTGTACATGTCAAGCAATTATCACATGTGATTAGAATGTATACAGACAACTGAACAATTGAACGAATTCATTTGGACTATTGTTCCAACTGCAATTGGGGTTTTTTGATTAAAAATTTAAATGATACCATGTTGGATATAGAAAATATGCCTATGACAATGATCTTTTAGTGAAACGTTCTAATGGTCAACTAGCTTCAGAATATAATATAATATGAGGATTTTCGCAACGCTTCTGCAGGCCTGACGTTGGAAGCTGGCGGAAATTTTAAAATGGCGTGGATGCGCGGTGGCAAAAGCAGGCAGTTTTAGGTATAATGATTGCAGCCCTCTTTCTTCAGTATTCCTATCAGCGGTGTAGATTAAATATATAAAATAAATATCTGAAAGCTTATTTGTGTATCGGTTCCAAGTCACTTACCCGAATAGGTCATAAATGGGTCAGTACCTTCGCGACCGTTCGCCAGCTTCCTTCGTCCGGCCTGTAAACCGCTTGACGAAATTTTACAAACCCTTAATCACTTTATAGCAATTTGCATTTCTTCTACATAACTGATATCTTCGTTGAATTTGACCCTTAGCCAACACATGATCTATACCGCTTTACTACACCGCGTTGGTATAGTTGGGACGATCAAAATTAACAATTATCGCAATAAATTTTCTGTAAAAATGGACGTATCGCCTTTGTTGTTTCCACTTGGGACTTCAGCCATTTGCTGCGTTTTGAACACGCCCTTGTTAAGTTAGGAAATGCTTCATGAGTAGTACAGATAAAATGAAAAGAGATAACCGATTGATAGTAAGCGGTGCAGCGGTTAGAGGTTGCACAGGTACGCAAAAGATCAGCATCGGCTTTATAAATGCCTGGTTTCAATTATATCTTTAAACAAGCGTCTTTGATTTTCTAAATTTATGAGAATATTGAAGTTTCCTTAATGCCCGATGCTGGCAACATGCTCAAATTTTGCTTGTCTGCGTCTGTTTCTGTTACACATCAGTTGGTGTATTGTTATTTCTTTTTCTTTATTAGCGTCTACTGCAAGTCCTACCTCATCTACCTTTTCTTAGCATTCGGGAGGACGCCGGTTCGATTCCGGGTCCGTCTACCTTGGTCCAAGTTTTTCTGTGGTTTCCTTGGATCGCCTAGGCAAATGCTGAGGCAGTAATATTTCACAGATAATCTTTCATTCTCTTCTGTCTTCATTTCGTCCGTCTCAGCTTTCTCACCCGAACCACCACCCACCCATTCCCACGATTCCTGAAAGCAGGCTGAAGAGGGCCTTCCGCCCTACCTTCCGGCATAGTCCGGAGGGACTGCCCGCCCACCAGCATTACTGGCTGGTGGGAATGAAACACCCAAAAGTTTTTTTTTTATGTTTATCATATTCCCTACAACATCTGTCGTGAGTAGAAGTAAGCGTTTTGTCAGCAACCGCTCCAGTCTAGCTAGTAAGTTGAAAGAAGAAGTAAATTCTACAGTTTTATTACGGACTATGCTAATTTTGAACGTCATATTTATAACCGGGATTCGTCCTTACCCTTCCATCGCCTCAAAGATCCTACCAAAATTTTTGTACTTATAAGTGACAGCATTATCGGTTGAATATGATGTCAAATAGATTTAAATGCACCCAACTAAATATAAGCTGCAATATTACTCGTTTTTTATTGTTTATGATGGTTTACATTTAAAAGTACGTTATCAAATCGAAGCAGTCAAAGTCCTGTAACCAATGCGATGTAGGAGCGTACACTTGAAACGTTGACATAGGTTCCCGGCAACTCGGTTTCAGCACAAACCCAACTGGTAGAAGCCAATCCATACAGTACACCATCCACTGTCAGTGGTCCTCCAGAATCACCCTAAAATAAAAAAAGTTTCTGGCTTCTTACATAAAACTTACGCAAAACTGTTAGCTCCTGTGAAATCATAGGAACAATTACCTCTTACCCTATAAAATATTCAACTTTACTCACAATTATCTCAGCAGTGAACATTTTAAAGTAGGGCGGGGCTAATTGAGAAATTTTTCAGTTGATTGGTCATAGTTCCTCAACGTTAAGTCTAAATTGCTTCTTATGCGTACTGATGGGTAAGTAATTTAGTCATTTCTATATTTATTTCTAATAGGTCACATTTAAGAGCTAAAACCGTTTAGGTGAACAATGTTGGACACACTTAAAGTACCACATTTGTAGGTTAGGTATCATGGGTATGAGGCAAATTGAGCTGTTAAAATTCTAGCTAAACCATACTAGACAATGTCTAGTAAACATGAAACAAAATTATTATTTGGTAATCAACTTTTTATTTACAGTCTTTAAGTGACGTAAATATCAAACATAAAAAAAGAATCAACAAAAGCTCAACATAATTTAAGTTTAACTTTGACATACTTAGTCAGTCTTTAACATTTATGCGACTATCAAGTGCTCTTGAAGTTATCCTTCTAATTGTCTTTATTATAAAATAAAATAAAAACCATGTGCTTTTTCGATTTAAATACTGGAGTTACTTGAGCAAAAGCAGCAGTTGCTAAACTTACCCCAACCCGAATATTTGAAACGAAAGTGAGGTTATGAAGAAACTGTTTTAATTAAAACCAAAACCTTTCTAGATATCAAAATATACTAAATTTATAACCAGTTACCTGGTTTAAAATGGATGATTATCGATTTGTACAAAAGAAGCTCCACACTTCAACGATAGATTATCGACTGTTACAATACAAGATGAGTTCCCGTCCAGGGCCAGTTTATATCCGCCATTTAAAATATGAGCGTGCGGTGTATAGTTCCTGAGATTTTTGAATTACCCAAACCTACCTCTATGCTCAACCAGCCCCGCCCAAGCTAACGTTACAGGTTAATAATAAGTTAATTCCAAAACTACCAATAATAATAACTCAACTAACTGTTTCATGTTAATCTTCCTACTTACATTACAAGTGCCTTTTCCTCCTTCTTCATAACCAGCACATAAAACTGTATCAGTAACATACTCTATGGCGTGGTGGTTAGCGTAACTAAGAGCACATTGTTCATTACTAACAATTGGAACAGTTACTTCGTGTAGTTCTGGTGGATTATCACCTTGATAGACCAAACGACCCCAACCGGAAACGGTAGCCAATGTTCCCGCAGGTAAAACAACATTGGGTGGTGGTAAAGCAATTGCAGCAATTTTTTCTCCAAAAACAAGATGTTTATTCAGATGGAGAATGCTTATATCGTAGTCTGGCTTTGTAAAGCTATACAGGGGATGAATATGTATCTCCGCTAGAGTAACTGGTTCATTTGCTGTTTGATTATACTCGGTAGCACCGACCCTTAATGTAACGGTGCTTGTACTTTGCCTGCATAAACAACAAAGTAATTAAAATCTAAATTTTCACAATTTCAATTTCTCGGAAAGTTTGTGAGATTTACCCTGAAAAAAAGATAGATGCCGAGAAATCGAAGAATGAAACGTTTATACAAGGAGTCCAATATTCTTGTTCACTAATCTAGGTATAAGTATAAGTAGCAGATGTCTGTTTAAGGTATAATAATTTTATTATGTACTACAATGTCTGAAAATTTATTTAGTAAAAATAATACTGATATGGCAGCCTTGGCGGCGCTAGCATTTTTGAAGGCATGATCGAAAATGTGGTGCCACCCTACCCCATGTTCGTTTGATCATTAGCGGGTCGCATTTTTATTACATTTTTTAAAATCATGTTTGTCTAAAGTGTCACCTCCTATAATGTTACCAGCCGTTAAGTGACAATTTAGACTAATCCAATGTTCAAGGGGCTGCACACGAATTTCTTCCCGTTATAGAAGTGATCAGAAATCAAGAACATCAACAAAAAATCGATTGTCTGTAAAGTCGGTTTACTGACGATAGTTAAACGTGACAACGTCATAAGAAACTACTGGTGGAATGGTTTCATTTTTCAAAAGAAAATTTTAATTTTATTTGTTTGATAGATATTTTGTATGGATATAGAGAAGGAGATAAGTGGAAATCACAATTGAATTGATCAAGTTACATTTATTTGTACGCATAAATACAATTATGTCAATTTTTATTTATTTTTTTTCCAATGTACATAGTTTTTACAAGTATGAATGTGCTTTGAGTAATTGTTTTACAACTTTTATTTACAACTTTTAAACATCATTAAAATTTTTGTAACTGTAGCTTCAATTCGACAATATATCACTGAACATATTGTAATGTATGCCCGATCGCACACAATCACGCTCGTGGTCGCTACAATGTATTTAATATCGAAAGAATCATTACCTTTATCGCCGCAATTATCGTTGCTATAAACATTTGACATCACATTCACTTTTCACTGCACTTCATACTTGACGAAAATATGTAAATGTATTATTGTATAGCAGCTGTCCACGCGGACGCATCGCTCACTCAAGTAGGAGAGAGACAGATGTCGAACGCTGCCGAACGCGGAGGCCGATTGTGCCTCTTTGTCAAGCCTTAAATGGAACGCCTCAGAGCGAGGTAACGCCGCATGAGTCATGTTTTTTTGTGCGTGCACCGGCTCCATCGAATTATAAGACGTCACGTCAAAAGTTTCATAAAAGGAGTGCGTTGTTGCCTAATGTATCTGCTCACTTTCTGCTCGTGAAACACATGTTTTTGTTATTACGCTCTTACGCAAACAGGGCGGAACGGCCTCGCTGGTCTGGTATCGTGGAAATAAGAAAGAGAGAGAATTATGATAAATAAAATTGTGAAAAATTATCAGTGGAATATTACTGCGTCAGCATTTGCCTAGGCGATTTAAGGAAACTAAATCAGACCAGGCGGGCCTGAAATTGAGTCGATGGCTTCCCGAAAGTTAAGATATGATGTAGACTAGACGACAGCAGTAAATGGCCTACCGATCACCGAGTAACCCATCTGATGGCCAGCTTCAATTCCAAAAATTAATTACATATAGTTAGCATACAGAAATATGAAAGGAACACTTTGAGGTCGCTCAACCGAAAACTGATCCCCAAAATATATCGAAAAGGCCGACGCAAGTAGTATAGCTATAGGGATACTGTGACACTTCGATGGCCTGTCCATCCTCAGTCCCTTACCATGACCTCCAAAGCCACCTTGGAGGTCATTCTTCA